ATTTAGTAGAAAGACAACTCCGGTCTTGCCTATTCAAAATGTACTCGGAGCAGCAGCTCTATGCTTGACCCTTTGTTCGCGCAACTCCAATCGTTGCAAGAGTATCGTGCTCAACCTTTGAAGTCGTTTTATGAGCTTTTAAAAGTTTAATTACTAATTATCTGCGAATGAATATGGGTGATGCATGCTTCTTACATTATTTGAGACTTAATTTAGTCACAATTATTGCGTTGTAGGTATTAAAAAGTTATAATAATTTATCTTCAAATCCTGCCTCTCAAAGCGAATATCCAACACAAAATTCGCCATTTCTCCCAAAATTATAAACACATAAGTCGCCAGGTATGTTTCGGATAGATTATAAAATCAAATCAATTTCTATATAATTAAAATCAGGAGTACAAGCAAAACGAACCTCTTTTTACTGCGTTTCACCTCGGTATGACCCAAGGTTCGAAGGGAAAACATTTCCGCGGTAATAAAGTATCGCCCAAACGCAGTTCATACAGCAGAATAAAAAAATCCGTTTCGCTCAACGAATTTTCGTCATGTTGATTTGAAATCTCAAACAAATTACAAATTAATTGCCGGAAATGCATTTTACTATCTTTAAGCAATAGTAATAAATGTTCTAGTATTTTTCTATGATAACGAAATGTTCGTATTGGGTCGATTTTAATAAATATTTCCTTTTCCCTGCAGCGTGGCGAGTGGCGACTTTAGTGAGGTGGCGACTTTAGTGGCATTGACGGTAGCTCATTGCTCTTAATAGGCTCATCTGACCTTTTTGTCAACCTTCAATCAACCTTCAAGTGTACGGAATTAATTTTTCTTCACTATTCTATTCAGTCAGATAATTTCTATCAGATACAGGGCTAACATTTCCAAACTAATGACGACATCATTCTATTAAAAATTACCTTCATTGTGTGAAAACAGCCATTTCATGATTAGGAGGCCTGGAACTGCTATAGCTCCCCAAAATAAGAACATTTTTGGATTGCGCACGTCATTTTTTAGCACATAACTTAAAATTCCTGCGTAACTGTTACTACTTCTTCTTCGTTTCAGGGTGTCCACATTGGGTGGACTGAAAGCCACAGGACAACCGCAAGGATGACCGTTGGGCCTGAGAGCTTATGTTATATTGAACTTCTTTTCAAAAAAAGCAGGCTGCTTTGTCCTTGTTTGTACAAGGTCAGTAGACGTGATGGCTGAGCATGACAACATGTAAGAGATAAGTTACATATGACATGGATAAGTTACACCTACACAGAACACAGATGACTGTACACAGTTACTCAGAAAAGTTACACATGAAATAATTATTGCTCCTAAGAACTGAGCATAAGATTTAACAGTTGCATTAGGTGGATTACTATAAGTAGGATAACAAAGATTATGCACGTACACATGTATTTACAAAATACATATATACACGCATACATATATAAGCCACATTCTGGTTTTTGGCACCTATCTAAAGTTTGCTGAGTCTGCCTAATTTCAAAATGTAAACAGTCAAATATCTAAAGATTTTCCTTTACACATTATCATTGAAGTTCACTACCCCCAGGATTTCACTCAGCAAAAATTGTACATTTATACTTCTTAAATTAGTTTCCAGTTCTTGTCTGGGCTGCGCATGCTGCTGACAATGCAGCAGGTAGTGCTCAATTGTATCCACTGTATTACTTGTAGGACATTGGTCTGATTCGCTCATGTTGAATCTGTGCAAGTGACTTCTGATGCCGGCGTGTCCAATTCTGAGTCGGGCAGCAGCACACTCTAGTCTGCATGACTTCAGGCAGAGCCAGAGTTGCAGCCTAGGTTCCTCCATGTTGTTCTCAAAAAAGTTCCTTTCTGAGAGCGAGCGACAGAGGCTTTCCATGTTCTGGTGCAGTGCTCATGAAGTTTGCCTCTCAGGATGGTGAGGGACTCTTCTCGGCTCAATGTACTTAAGGCTGATTGGGCATGGTTATGACCCATGTTGGCAGCCCTGTCGGCCACTTCATTGCCCTTTACTCCAGAGTGCCCTCGCACCCATTGCAGGATGATGAGGCATGCCTTTTATGGATGATATCTTGTATTTTGTAAACATACTCCATGTATGAAGGGTTGATGATATTCCTGACTGCCTGCAAAGCTGACTGAGAGTCAGTCAACAGACGGATGCTTTGCCTGCTAATCCTTGGATCCAAACAGGAGAACTGCAGAGCCATGGAAATGGCAAAAAGCTATGAGCCAAGGACAGTATGAGCAGGGTTCGGTTCAGCCTCCATGTTGTAGCACTTTGGATACTTGGTATATACTGTACTGTTACTACTGCTTCAACATCGCGCACCCAATAGCAGATTTCATGGACAAAGGTAGTAAGAGACAATTTGTTTTGTTTTTCATTGATAACTTCTTACCATGAAACATTTCATAAACAAGTTTGGGCTCATTTTAAATGTCTTTGCAAGGGCTAGGTATTGTAAGGCATCTCGGAAAAAATTTCATGTGCTATTCGTAAGGTTTAAGAAGCATAAAAAACCATCCTGAATTACCACTGGGAATGGGGTAATTTGGGACACTTTAAGTAAAAATTAATTTTAAAACGTTTGAAGCATGCAGAGTGTACTCATCCATTACTATCAGAACTAAGAAATTTTACCCTTTTTGTAGATGATGTAGATGCAGAATAAATGAAGTTTTCTGTGATTTGTACTTGTTTTTCCTTTATTGATGATTACTGTATTTTTCAATAACAAAAACCATTTTCCTTTCTAGACTATACCCAACACCTTTGAAACCCCCCTAAAAGTTTTCATGTGATTGACAACAACCTTGTCCACTACAAGCTTCACATAAGCAGCCATATAACATTTTCTCCATAAGCGCACAATTTTGCTCCATTTCAATTGGGTAAAGTGAATTAATTCATGATTACAAAAAAAAAACATTGTTAAAACCATACTTGAAACAGAAAGGAATATTTTAGTGACACCCATCATATTTTTGGCAGAAATAAATCATTGTTTTGGTTAATTACTTTTCATTTTTCGTTGCCAGGCGCACAATTCTGTCTATGACATTCTATGCACAATTTTGTGAGGACCGTTTGATGCATTAATTGTTTGTCAAGTAAAATTTTCTTGCTGAGAGAAGTAAATTTATTGGTTTTTGACTGATTTTTTTGTTACCAGGAGCCCTTGCTTACCGTGGTTCTACTGTTGATGCATTTTTATGGGTGTCCGGCATTACCCCAGGGGGTGTCCCTTAATAGCCCACCTTGTGGAAATGGCCACAATTTTGTTTTGGGTTGAGGTACGCAAATCCTGTTGATAAAGTTTCAAAGCCAAAACCTGTCTGCAAATTGTTTTCAAGCAAAATGTTTTTATATGGCAAATATATTATAACACTTCTCTTTAACTTCACTTCATGTTGTTTGTTTGTTTGTCTGCTACAAATCTTATAATCAATATTTAACACACTTCTACCTAGCCAATTGATCTGAAATTTTGCACACTTGCATAAAGTCAGAGACAATGTATGATTCAGTTGACAGAATAAATAAATTTGAAAATTTTGAAAATTTCTATATATTAAAAAAATTTGAACACTACTTTTTTTAACATTTGAAAACAAAAATTAGAAATTATTGTACATGTGTAACATCGGAGATACTGGATTATTTATAAGTGTTGTTTTTAAAAAGTAATTTTTAAACACATATTATTTTTTGCTTCAAACTTTCAAAATATCACTTTCTAACATTATTTCAGGGTTTTTTAGAGCTATTAAATGTATGATTTAACTTACTTTATACTACATAGATAGGAAATATGTTGAAATTTGTGCCACTATTTTCAGTTCTGCAATATTTCAATTAGTTTGACTGCTATAATATTTTTACGCAATGTGGAGGACCGTCCTGATTTATTGCGCTTGTTACTTATTATCCTATTTGATGGCATCACATTTTAGCGTTTGTGGAATGCTCAAATATTTAGAGTTCATTCTGGAAGGAGTCCAGACAATTAACTCGGCTTATGAATGAGGCACTTTGCATCATTGTTTAGGGTTATTAATATATTATGGTTTATCTTAGCAGCATGTCTATGACCAGTTCCATACCTACACTGTCTTCTTTAAATCCTGGTGCATTATCACTATTTAGCCTGATCAATGCTATAGTAATTTCCCTATTTTCCATCATAAATATCCTTTAATGTAGTTCTTTAGAAAGGTTCTTTTGTTTCACAACACTAATAGCTTCCACTACACCAGTCTCTTTGAATGAGCAATATTCTTTTTTTTCACCTACTATTGTAAGGTGGGTGCCAGCCAAAATCAAAATAAAAGCTGAATGCAAAAATGAAATAAGAAACATAATTAATGTTGAGAAAATGTTTCAAGACATTGTAACACAAGACATTTCACTAATTTTCCAATTCAAGATAAGAAGTGATAGGACAAAATGGTCCTAGAATACTTTGGTCCATACTTGGTTTCAAGACCTTGCTGGCAATCACCAGCTTCCAAGTTGCTGTGCCAGCCCCTAAACTCCAAAATTTTAACAAATCGAGATACTTGAATGATGAATAAATTTTGTAAAATTGCTGCAATTTCAATGATGTAATATTTTTGGGACCAAGGTTTGGTGCAATCCAGTGCCAGGGATGTTGGGAAACTCAAGTTGTCAAAAAAGAAATTTCGGTAAAGAAATTCAAGATCCTTTCTACTCATTTAAATCATGTCTGGAGTACAGTCAATGGACAAGGGAAATGATCAGAATGTTTGAGACAATAATTTCATTAATAACTAAATAACTCCTTTGAATACAGAACAAATTATCATTGTACTGTTATAGATTGCATGAAAAAATTGCCACGCAATGAAATAACAAGTTTCTAATATTTTCTTTGTGATTCAATGAAAAAAAATTGCAAACTTGTACATAGTTAAAAGTCTGATTGAATAACAGAAGTTCTAATATTTATCTAATAATATCTAATAAATATTGCTACATATTTAACTGACCATGCATTAATTTGCAACTACCTCTTTTTTTAGCCAGCAATAGTACTAATTTCAAAGTCTTTACTTTTACTTAGACCTTACAAAAAACTCAAAATAATGAAACCATACAGTAGTCACATCATGGGTAAATGCAGGTACTAATAATCTGTATAATACTAAAAACTATAAAAAAGTAAATTTCAGCATTGCCCACAGATGCTGCTCAAGACTTGCACGAGTCATTCCACTTTTTTATATGCAATTTCTTTAAATACCTTTGAGAAGATGCAAAGTATAATTTGAAATCATGGTAATGGTATCCACTTAGAGAAAATGACAACCACAACTATGTGAAAAAAAAAAGATGTGCAATGATGATTTTGCAATCACCAACCACTTTGGGCCCATGTCTCAGAAAAAATCATTGAAGGTGAAAATATATTCCCAACAATCATAAGCAGATTAAAAAATCTGATTGAAGCAGTAGGTATCTAGTGACACTGCAAAAATTTGCGTAGCAGCAGTGGCTTTTAGAGTAAGTAATATAACAATCCTGACTCTGCAAATAAACAGGTTCATATTTTAGGTGAGGCATCTCAAAAATAAATAAACTTGTCATTACTCCAGTTTTGTAATCTTCCTTTTGTGGTCACGAAACCAAGTTGCACATGACGTGCCACAACGATTTTTGTCAATGGTTACAATGAATAATTTGCTTGAGACTTAGAAGACAGAGAGCAATGGTTTTTAATAGCCACGAGGGAAATAAAGAAAATTATTCAATTTTGTAATCATGCCTCATAAGTTCTCATGCACACGTTTTTGCAACTAGCTTTTCACTTGAAAAAATCCTGATAGAGAAATGTGTAATTGATAGCACGAGCTTTAGGTTTTTCAAACTTAGAAGCACATTTGAACATAACATGAAATACCATTACATTTTCATCATATGCACTGAATTTACAAAAGTCACACCAGAAAGGGCAAATTCCATGTCTTATATACATGTGAACATCAAGAAAATACTTGGCACTTGCCAAGTACCCTACTTGCACATGTCACATTGGAGAGCCTTGCCTGATCTGTGTTTTGGAGCCAAACAGAACTTGCGACTATATGCATTCCATGTGAAATAATCACACATCTCACAATGTTTCCCATCACCTAAATTGTGTTTTGAGGACAAGTGTTCAATTAAAACTGGTTTGCAGCAGGTAGAAACGTAACAGATATCACAGCGCAACATTTTCTTAGTCTCATGTTCAGCAATGTGATGCTTACTTAGATACTCTTTTGTAAAGAATGACATACCACACAATTTGCATATTAATTTGTTAGCAAAGAAATCTCTCGGAGATGTCATGGGCTTACATTGTGAAAAGAGGGAGGCTTCTCTTTTCCCGGATCTTGGTACACCATTAACATTAATTTCTTTAATTGAAAGTCCATGTTCAAGATCATTGGAAGTCTCATCAATCTCCATTGCTTCCAAGAAACGGCTTCCATCACAATGTGAACTCTGAGTGGCACTTTCATGGGTAGGAATTTGCATGCGCTCATTGGCAGCATCACAGTCCTCTTCATTACATTGATGTCTCACTTCTGCATCTTCAGTTATGGTGTGCACTTTGACAGGGTTGGTGTCTTGGAGGCACAAACGAATGGAAGTTACCTAATTGAAACCAAGAAAAAATTACTTTACAAGTAAATAATTAGACAGAAAATTTCTCTTCTATCCAAGACATTCACGGTTGCACTATATGACAACACAAATTTGACTTACAATTTCTTTTGAATATTTGAACAAAAATTACCTGAGGCTGCTGTTGAGACTCGCAGAGCTCCACTGTCACTGAAGTTTTGTAGACTGAGTGCTCAAACTTGGCTGCAGGAGGCGTGCTCAAAATTAGAACTTGCTCTTCTTTTTCAGGCAGAGCCTCAGCAAAGTTTAAGTGTGTGCAACTTAACAGCTCTTCCATCCGATCTTTGGATTGCATAAAAGTAAAGTTTCAATATACCTGTGAGATTCTGAATTAAGTATTAACATGCAGCATGTGGAAAATTGTTTTACAATATTTTGTTGTGTTCCCCGGAGCAGCATTCTCAGAGGAAAGCGTCTGGTGAAATCAATCACCATTTAATTAGGCTATTCCAGGAAATAATGTCTATAAATTTTCTGAATATTATTCTATGACAGAGAAAGAGACTAAATAATGGAAATTATATTAATGTGAATTACCATGATTGTAGATTCTTTTGGTCTCCAATATTTTTTTAAAGCGTGACATGCCAAGGCAATTCAGAGTTTGGGTTGATTCATAGACCTTCACATTGTAAGGATGGTGCATAAAAATAAATTTATACACATCTCTCCACTTGCTACAAATCTCTTCCAGTTCAGCGTCAGAAAACCTTTCCTCATTTGTCACTTCACAGGGAGGAAGCAACCCAGTAAGACTGGGAGGCTGTTCACTTTTCAATTTTTCAAAATCTTCTATGGTCCTGACTTTACTTTTCCAGACCTCCTTTTGTTGACCATAAAGAAATATAAATGGTAACAAGTGCAGAAATTCCAAATCATCATCATCATCCACCTGCAAGTCCCAAATCTCAGCCATGGTTACAATCTCATCCATCACATGTGCCTCTGCCTCTGAAGGGGAGCTCTTGGATCCCAGATCGGCCACCATATGTGGGCACAGCTTCTTCCAGGCAGACTGCAAAGTGTGCTGAGAAACACCCTTCCAGGCTACAGCAACAAGGCTGATGAGATGTGACACAAAAAAAGTGTCTCAACCAAAAATCTTGGAGCATTTTATTGGTTTCATTAGTGATCAGGAAGACCCTGGAAAACAAAGCATGGGCCTACTGCAAGTTGAAATTCAACAGCACTCCTTGTTCCATTGGCTGCAGCTTTTGAGCTGCAAATGGGGCAAGAAATTTCACTTTAATGAACTTGTGCTCAATGCCTCAACCTTCATTCATATCAAATGGATTAGCAGAACCATATTCAACAACTAGTAGACATTTCAGTGGAAGATTCCTTCCCTCTAAATACAGTTTTACAGTTGACGCAAACACTTTGTTTAACCACTCCAAAAACAGTTCCTCTTCATTAATTTCAGCAGTCGTCCTCCACATGACTGGAAGTCTGGCATCCAACTCATTTTTGTTCTCAAGTCCTGAAAGATCTGCTTTATGATACACAAGAGGCTTGACTTTGCAGTCACCACTGGCATTACTGCACAATAAGACTGAGACAGGAAAATGATATGGATCATCTGCCAAATGATCTCCAGGCAGTGACTTGAGATGAGGCAAGCTCCTTTTAGTCATTGTCCTCCAAAATATGTCAGTTTCATCACAATTGAACAGTTGCTGAGGAAGGTAACCTTCATACTTAACATGCTTTACAAAATTATCTACAACTGCATCAACATTTATTCCAGCTCGTTTCAAAAATTTGGTAGCCAACTTCCACTTGATTCAAAGTCAACACTGATGCCACTATGTGGTGATAAGGACAACATTGCCTGATACGACTTTTTAGCCTCTTGAAGAATCATTCTGTCAACAGGAGGCATCTTATTGTCACTAATAAAACGGAAAAAAATAATTTCCAATAGTCTCATCCTATCAGACTTTTGTTTTGCTACAATAGCTGCTCTTTTTAGTTTCTGTGCATCTTCTTTCTTCAAGATCTCGTGGACACTTAATTTTTTCATGTTTTCTTGCCTGGCTATTTCAGAAACCCTGACGCCTGTTTCACGTTTTCTTTTTATTTTGTGCTTGAGTTCTTTTGTAATGCACATTGGTTTCATTAAACCACTAGAGTTACTTCCTACTTTTTCAGAATCCATAATGAATCTAAAATAACAACATATGAAGTAATCTACAGCCATTAATAGTAAAATGAAAGGCTACTAGGTCAGTACTGATCAAGGCACTTGGGTACAAAAGTGTGGCAATCAGGTACAAATGTAGCAAGCTTAGTCAACAAACTGAATGACCATGGACCATATAATAGGTTGTGAGAAAATACATTTTTAGTGACTTGATTTATTTGACTGACTTGTCAATACAATTACATCATGTTTTGTTGCACTGTCAGTTTCACATCACATTTTATCTTGGAATTGGTTTCAACATGCATTGATTGGTTACTACTGAATTGGCTGAAAAACTATTTCACAACAGCAGCAAACATTTGATCTGGAAAATGAAAAATAAATTTATTCAATTTAATTTGGAAATCAAACAAATAGGTAATAATTAAATAATGCTGGCAATTACTTAAACAATCTAAAATGCATCAAATTTCAATCTTCTTAGTGCTTCTAAGCCACTTTTTCTTAGATAATTTACTACACATAGGGTTCTTTGGCCTCAATGGCCTACAGATGATGTTACCTAGACATGCCACCAAGATCTATAACATTAACAAATACAAAGAAATAGTTCTACACATACCAAAACTTTCAGTCCTTTATTATTACAATTAAGACTTGAAATGTTCAAGCTTCATGAGCTTATTCTATCTCTGGGGACTGATATTTGAAAACAATCTATTAATTTTAATGATAATTTCTTTTAATTACATAAAATTATTTTATAATATAAAGAAGATATCTTGAATGAATCAGCTGAAGAATTTATCTCTCAAGCAAATGTGTCAACATCCAAGGACAATCTTGAAGTGGGAGACAAAGCAAGTGACACTATTTGCAAATTTTTGGATGAAGAAGATTTTTACACAATTTATAGAAAAATCTAGCAGAATTGGACAAATGTAGCATCCCCAGTGACCCGCTGTCTCCAATGTAACATCAACGCATCTCCTGGGCCAATTCTTGCAACAAATGCTGCAATCACAATCTCCAAAATGTTCAACAAAGATATTGTCGTTGTTGTTATTATTACGACAATATTTTTTTTAATGACGATATTGTCAACTCTGTAACTTCATCAATGCAGAAGCATTACAAGATATTCACAATGTTGCTGTGAAGTCAAAGTATAAAATTAAAGCAAGAGTATGAATTTTAGTGTAGACATTATAAGTACCGTAGACTGCATACTGCCTAAAATGATTCCTAACTTAATCATGTTAAAGTTGTTGTAATTTACATTTTATGGATGGATTTTGTGCACTCCATAGGTTAATCATGTTAATTCTATTTTTGCTTTTCAGTAAAAACAGGTAGACTGGCAAAATACCATTATTTGAGGTTGAGTAGCTCCCCGTGCCTCAGTTTAGCGCCGGTCTCTTCTCATTTTCTGCCACTGGAAATGTGAACAACAGATTAAAGCATTGGCTGTCCCATTTCTACTGCAGCAATGTCATGAAACCGATTTGCTGCTAACATTCTCCAGTTCATCAGATTTGATGACAAATAAACACCTGTCAAGCGGTAAGCAAATGATAAACTTGCAGCTAGATGTGATGCTTGGGATTCATTTGTATGAAATTGCAATAGAGCTTTTAAGCCAAATGAGGAAGTTACGGCATATGAGTAACTTGTTGCGTTTCAAGACAGATGTCCAATAAAGCAATACATGAAACCAAAGCCAGCCAAATATGGGATCAAGATCTGGGCAGCAGCAGACGTAAGACACCATATGTGTACAACATTCAAGTCAAACTGGAAAGCTTCCTGGTAATGCGCCTGAAAAAAAGCTGGGGAACCACATAGTAAGTGACTGTTTGGCTCTGAGAGAGGGATGACAGCGGACAATTTATTTACCTCTGAGGAAAAGGCAGAATTTTTGCTGCAAAAAAACATTACTATGACAGGAACACTAGGAGCAAAGAAGCCTGACTTTCCAGCAATGGTGGAAAATGCAAAAAAAATAGAGAACTGCACTCATCCAAATTTGTTATTTTTGCTGGCATGGCTGTGGTCAATTACTTTAAAAAAATGAACAAAAAACTTCATTTACTATCTACTCAATTTCTGGATTCTGTATCAGAATAGTTACAAGAAGCCAATCATGATTCATGAATAGATTGACAATGCAGACAAATTGATTTGCAAATTGCACCAGGCAGACCTCAAGATGGCCTCTCAGCCTTTTCACGAATCCGATTGACATTGGCATCACAAACACTCCAAACATTTGGCGGTCAAATAACAAAGGCTTGAAGGTTACTGAGAAAATGTGTCAGTATTTGTTCCTGATGGAATTGGAAAGAGGCCAGACAACCCAATGTTATTCACAGGGAAAACAATCCAAGTGGTCTCCATCGTTCAATCCTCAGAGCCATTGAAGCTCCAGGAGTATCAGTTGCAATAGAGAAGCCAAAATCAGTGCAACAGAGAAGCCAAAAAAGAGGGAGATGTCCTCAGAGCTGTGACGAGAAAGTAAACATGGTACCGTCAAATGGGGTAAAAAGGGACGGTTTTGAGCGTTTTTTGTTAATAACTTCTCACCATGAAACATTTCAGAAACAAGTTTAGGCTCATTTTATAGCTCTTTGTGAGGGCTATCCAATGACATCTTCAAAAAGTTCCATATGCTATTCGTAAGGTGCCAGATGCAAAATAAAACAGTCTCGATTTACCCCTGGGAACGGGGTAATCCGGGACACTTGCAATAAAAGTTAATTTTAAAACGTTTGAAGCGTGCAGAGTGTACTCATCCATTACTAACAGTACTTTGAAGTCCTCTTTCATTGTAGATGATGTAGATGTAAAATAAATGACATTTTCTGTGATTTTTACTTGTTTTTCCTTTATTGATATTATATTACCATATTCATTAATTACCGTAATATTAATGTGATATTACTCTATCCATGGACCTGCCATTGAGCATTGACAACGACCTTGTCCACTGCAAGCTTCATATCAGCAGCCATGAAGCATTTATTCTGTATCTGTAAGCTTACAGGATGGTTTGTAATTTAGCACAATTTTAATTGAGTCAAGTGTTTTCACTATAAAAAAAAGATCATGAAAAACATACCTGAAACAGAAAATAATGTTTTAGTGACAACCATCATATGTTTTGGAGAAATAAATCATAGTTTAGGTAAATTACTTTTCATTCTATGATGCCCGGTGCACAATTCTATATATAGCATTCTATGCACAATTTTGTGACGACCGATGATGCACTAATTTTTCGATAAGTGAATTTTTTTCGCTGAACGAGGTAAGTGTAATCAAAATTCTTTGTTATTAATCAATTTTTTTGTTAACTGGAACCTTTGCTAACTGAGGTTCTACTGTAAATGCATTTTTAAGGGTGTCCCTAATTACCCCGGGGAGTGTCCCGAGTAGCCCCGCCGTGCGGAAATGACTGCCATTTTTTTGGAATGAGATAGGACAATTCCGTCAATTATGTTTTCAAGCCGACCCCTGGGTGCAACTTTTATGTAAGTAAAATTTTTCAATATGGCAAATATTTTTTTTGCACCAGACCTTAGCAGAGGTACTTTTCCAAAATCGCACTTTTCACACTTTTTTCAGTGATTTTTCAGAGATAGTAAATGTTTGATTTCTTGACTAGCTATATACATAATAGATAGTAAAAATGTTGAATTTTATGCCACTATTTTTAGTTTTGCAATATTTTGATTAGTTTAGCTGCTACAACATTTCTACGAAATGTGGGAGGCACGTCCGGATTTACCCCGCCCGTCCCTTTTTACCCCGTTTGATGGTATGCAGCAAATGCCAGCACTTCGTCTGTCTGGCACACAAGAAGACCATCATCACAATCACATGTGCAAATGACTGCCGACCATGATCTGTAACAAATCTTCAACACTGGTACATAAACCTGCAGTTACTTGAATATTATAATTGTCTTTCTAAACGGATGTAATCAAAACTATACTTTGCTCTCATAAGTAATGGAATTTTTGCTTAGAGAATGAAAAAAATTTTGTTTTAACAAATCTAACCATCACTGAAATGTTTCATTAAGCCAAAAAACAAAAAAAAAATTGAGAAATGTATAGTAAATAACAATTGTATTATAGAAAAAAAACAATGGGGTCCCACCGTCCCTAGAGGACCCCACCTTGGTAAACAACATTGACTGCTGACCTTGGCATGTTAACGGTTGAAGTTGGAATTTTCTGATTTTTACAGAGCAAAGTTAAAAAAACAGAGGTTACATAGTTTGTTACCAGGGATCAATTAATATGTTACTGTTAATGCTTAAGTTGGTTATAAATTCGGATCAGCAGAGAGTTTATATGAGACTTAGAGAATTGTGAGGAAACATGACTGGTTAAGTAACTATAGATTTCCAAGTAAAATGGACAGGTGATGGCGGCCCTTGTATTTGAGCAGATATACACAGTGCCTTGCTCAGTTACTGCTCATTAAGACTTATCTGTACACAATTCTGTAATACTGTTTTCTTGCTATGTGTCATGTGTTTTCTTGCTATGTGTTTGCGGTGCACTTCTTTAAACATAGCCCATGCCCTCTCACAAAGTTGTGATAATAATTATTTTTTTATGTTTCACACAATGATTTTCCCCCAACCACTCTTGCACATAGTTCTGCAGCTGGTCAATGGGAAGAGACATCCTTATTTTCTCCATCCTCTTGATGCAATTTACAATAGTATATACACAAAATTTTTCTAATGAAAAAAGCAAACAGGTTAGAATGGTTATTTTGAGCAAACGATAAAAATTGTGACCAAAATACTCCACAATATGCACAATAATATGAACATTCAAAAGCTATTTTTGACAAACTATGTGGTAAGAAAGGACCATATGTGGGGGTAAGACAGGACCATTTGTGGGGTAAGATAGGACCACTTGTAAGGTAAAACAGAATCATTTAGTGGTCCCGTCTTACCCCATGTCCAGTCCTTTTTTACCCCATTTTGGAATACATGTCAGGCAGTGATGGTATCAAGTAGGAATGCCTAGTATGTCTCAAAAGTTGCTCATTACTTGAGGTTACCTGCTTACATCCACAAACCTGGCCAAAAAATTTTTTGTCATTAGACAGAGCTCATTTCCAAAATAGGGTTAACTATTTTGTGACCCTTCTTTACATAGGTTTTCTTTAAAAATTAACCAAAAATTCATTATTTGTAAAACAGGGTCAAAACAAACACTGAAATGACATGCAATGATTGCTCTAACATATTCTTCCATCAAATT